AAAAAAAAATTTCTGTGACACAAGAACGTCTATGCAGGTGGGGCGTGTGGGAGGGGCTTGTATGGGTGGAGCACAAGGGGGCCCCATAATCTTGTATTGCCCGGGGGCCCGATGTGTTGTCAGTCCGCCCCTGCCATACACCTTACAATTTATCTTCAGATTTTCTGTGGTCAGATGGAAAAAGTGCAACAGATGCACAAGTGGAGAATCTGTTGCACCTTTTCCATCTGACCACAGAAAATCTGCAGATAATTGTAAGGTGTATGGCCTGCTTTAGACTCAAACAAAAAAAGGTGGGGGGAATATTCTGCAAAATTTAAAGCAGCACTCCCTTTAAAAAGTGAAGGTTTTAAAAGCAGGCAGGTTTTTTTTTTATTATAGAAGGGTCATATGGGTGTATTTATAGAACGTTTGCAGAATTGCGCTGTGTACACTTGACATCTGCACGATTGCCACTAGATGGAGCCAAGGAATTCTGCTTTAAGGCTGAAATATTCTGGCAAGTTTTCAAATGTCTGCTGAGGAAAATTTACCCCATTTGTCCTAAAACAGAAATCAGCTTGTGCAACCAGATTGTTTATGGACGGTATATTGATAGTGTCAAGTGTACCCCATTTGTCCTGGTAACCATAGTCACTGAGACAAAGTGAGAGAAATTAGGAGTCAGAATGGAGGAGAAATTTTCCAATGGGGCAAATGTTTGACAACTCAACAGGAAATTAAATCTCTCCAAAAAGTGAATGGTATTCCTGTGTTAAGGAAGTGTCCCAACAGCACACATACAGAAAATGTAGGTTTTAACACTTTGTCCCCATCCAAAAATAGATGGGGACAAAAAAGAAACCGCACAAGGTTTTAAACCAATTTCCCCCCCACCCCTACATCCATTTCAGACCTGTTGAGTTCCCAGCTGGGCACAAACTTGGTTAGAATGAATTAGTTTCTCTACATTCTCAATGCACAGGACAGTCATAACATCTATTAAAATCACAACACAGCTGTTGGTTTATATATAAAACATTTTATTCCAGTGATTTTACACTCCACATTCCGATTAGCAAATGTTGGTAGGCGATGACTGAGGGGTGGGGACGGGACACACAAAATCAGTGCAATTAGTGTCAGCCTTGTCACAGTGTGGGTTGTTTCCCCTTAATCCATCCCAAGTCCCATCGTGGATTCCCAGACCGGCTACAAGCAGCCCCACCGCTCAGACAAATGTGACCGTAAGGACAGCAGTGGACTCTGTCTGGACAACACACACCCTGTAGAGAAAAAAAACAAACAAAAAAAACCAAACATAAGAGGTCAGAGTCTAGCCAACTTTCCATATAACACCCCTGTTTCAGGAGTCCTCAATTGTGGAGAACTGGCCATAAGAAACCCTTGTTTTGAAAATGCCAACTCCCTTCTGAAAAGTCTTGTTCCCAGGTGGATTAGCCAACCATCCAGCTTCACTGCATTAAACTACACCTATACAGATCAGATGTTAGGCTCCCCATGTTCTAGGTCAGGAAGCTACAAGATTAAAAGCCCTTTAATAGAAAGTAGTTGGTCACATTCAGCTGGGCTTGTCCTAGAATGCTGAAGACTAGTTGCAGCTTATTCAAGCAACTTCAGTTTTTGGGGAGTGTCAAAACATACCCCAGCATTTACAGGTAGTGACAGCTTAACCCAACCACCACAGCTATACTGGAGAGGTGTGAACGTTGTGGAACTCTGTTCTAAACTGGTACTCTTTTAGGTGCACAATCCCATCCCTTGGTGTCAGAAGTCTGAATGTTTTAACCTTCCAAAAAATACATAGCTGAAGGTATGAAGTGTCAGGGGTATAGAGGCGTTACAACAGCATTATATGTGGAAGACCATGTTGAATGGGCAAGTATGGTTGTTACAGTTTGATGTAGATTGCCTTTTCACACCTCTTGCAAGCCAGTTGCCCTGTCCTTGAATGCGGTAACCAAAATGGCCAAACTGCAGCCCTCCAGCTGTGGTGGAACTACAAATCCCATGAGGCTTTGCAAGATTCTTAGACATCACTCCCAGAAAGAGATGCTTCATGGGATTTGTAGTTCACCACAGCTGGAGGGCCAGAGTTTAGCCATCCCTGGTGTAGGTAAACTGCCAAGTCCTGACCTGTAGAATTTGCCCTCCTATGGGCAAATTTGACGGCCGAAATCGTACAATTTCCGGCTGGTTTTCTAGCGTGCTCCTTAGACAAAAGACGTGCGACTGTACAGTAGAGACGGTCGCACGTCTTCGTTCACACTGCTCGATTCCCGTACGAGAATCGAGTAGTGTATGGGCACCTTTACATTTAAAACCCGACAGGTTTATCCTGCCTAAAAGGTTTTGGCTGGCATTTGGGTTTATGGTCTTGCTCATACAAGTCCACCCATTTAAGTTAGCACAGCCATCTGAACTTTACCTTGCAGCATATACCCTGGTCACAGACAAATACACACCTGTGTATAAGGGCAGCATGTCCATAAACCACCAGGTCCTGTGCAGCAAGTCTGCCCATCATAACAAGCATGTGTGCCATCACACCAGACATAGCCCACAGGTGCCACTGGTGAAGCGGGCTCTGGGGCAGCAGCCTCATCAACTGGTTTGTTGCAGGTTGCAGTCGTGACATCACAAGTGTACCCACTAGGACAGCAATGCAGGTGATCTGAGCAGCACACAGCCTGGGAGGAAAGAAAAAAAGTCAAGTAAACCCAAAGCGATTCAGATTCTCTTTTCTGCATAAATGTCTGACAATTAATGCCAGACAGCCAGGCCAATGGCATTTTTTTTTTTTTTTAGAAAAGACAGCAATGGAAGCTCCTATATTTCTATACACCATTTAAGACTACTGCAGTATAAGAAATATTAAAGCAGACCTCTGTTAATCTGCCCTTCCATTTTAAAATCTATCAATAGGACATGTGTAGGGTTCTTCTGTGGCCTCATGCAATAGCACAAGGGTATTGTGTGACATAAGTTACCCAAGATCTGAAAAACTGAATGTACAAGAGTGCCTCGGGTCTGCAGCAAACAGATTATTGCCATCAGCTCAAGACAGGTTAGGGAATAAATTTATTTATATATATATTAGTAGAACCCAAATGGTAGATGCAGGAGACCAAGTAATGGATTATTTGTGATGGAATATTTTAGTGGGTGCTTCAGTAGTTTGTCTCCACCTTCTGTCACATGGCCAGAGCACCCATCACTTACAAAATGGACTCTTCTCCAACCTTAACCTCTTGCTGCTGGCCCTTAAGGCCGAGAGTGGGCATTGTGTGCCCTGGTGACCACCGATACCACAAAGTGATTACAGTCACACATTTCAAAGAGGCCACTGCAATAATGATAGAGGAAATGTTCAAAACTAGTTTCCTTATTCCCTACAGCATCTCCAGGATAGGAAGATGAAAGCTCCAGAACACAAATGGCAAATACAAGGGTTTTACCACCCTCTAATGGTTTGGCTTAATATATTATTTAAGCAACAAGGGTTCAAGAACTCAACATTAAAACTGAACACAAAACCTGCCCCTGCAAGAATTACAGGTGAAGAGAAGCAGAGAAAACAAAGGAAAGTGAAAGGCAAGCCTGCAGAAGGAGAGATCTGTGCAAACGTGTGTGTTCTACTGTTCATTGCAATTGGGGCTTTTCACTCCCATTCATATTAAGTACTAAAGGTTGGTCATGCAAAATAAGGGAGGACATACCATTTATGTCTAGATATTGGCACCCAAGTAATGGTCCTGCGTCTGGTACCGACCCAACTATATACTTCCATGGCTGATGTAGAGTCCCATTGCATCTCCTACACCACCTGTGAAACAGATCTCAGCATGTGAGGGGTGGGGCGACCCAGCCTTCTCGGAAGAGTGCAGATGATCTGCTGTGCTGATTAGAAGGGACCTCCACAACTTAGCCAACTGGTTAAAGAACCAGCTACAGTCAAAGGACCATACATATCCCCTGAGCAGTAGCTACAGAAACTGTAGTGGGGAAGGTGTAAAAGGTGCCCATACACTGAACGATTCTCGTATGAGAATCGTAGGGAAATCCCACGCTCGTACGATAATCGTACAGTGTATGGAAGGCGTGCAACCGTTTCTACCGTACGGTCACACATCTTCCGTCGAACAAGCAGGCTTGAAAACCCACCTAGAATCCTACGATTAGTGTCGGGTTAATGGCCTTCTTGTTCGACAACTGCCGAACGGGCCAGTGTGCGCACACTGCCCGTTTGCAGTGATTGGAAGCCCGCCCCTAAGCGGGGTGGGCTTTCGATGATCGCAAGTACGATCTGCCTGTCCAAGATGGGCAGATCATACGAGCTTTTAATAAGTTTACGACCATCGCAAGACGAAAGTCCTGCGATGGTCGTAAGGTGTATGGGCACCTTGGGGAGATGCAGAGTACCTCAACATGTCATGATTGCATGTAGGCATAGGATTCTTCAAACCAAAACTCTCAAAAGTTAAAGTGATGCTAACCTTACCAGTTAAATGTTAATGCATTCAAGTACCTTAACCATTAACAAAAAATGTAACTTATTCCTGTATCACTTGGCTGTAGATTGATTAAACCCCTAAAGCAGCAACAGGTGGCCACACTATCCTAGAAACATTAGATTGAGCACTAACCCTAGTTAAGGCTGAACTCCAGGCAAACCACTACATGGATTCATATATGTCTAATCATTCCTGAGGTTTACAGTCCTACTAGAAGCACAACCAGATGACCACCACTTGCAATGAAATAGTGATGTCTTCTCCACCCCAGCCTGTTGGACAGTGAAAGCGCAGCAGACTGATGTCATCTGGTTGCTTCCCATCAGCATGTTTGTTAAGGCATTTGCATGTAGCTCCCATCCTGCCCTCCCTCTCCTAGTTTTAATGCTGCAAGGGTTAAGTGCCCATTTATCCCTAGGGAACAGGAGAGGGGAAAAAAAAAAGTTACTTACCTGATCACCACTCCTGCCGTGTTGCTAGACTGGTCCTTGAAGCTTCTCCCCTTTGCTTCTGCAATCCAAGGACCACTGACTTAAAGTTCAATGCAGGCTTCATACAAAAGTAAGACAGCTTTCCCTGTCCCCTAGGTATAAACACTTAACCCTTGCAGTGCAGGAGCAGCTCCACTGGAGCCAACCTAATTTCCCTGGAGTTCGGCATTACTAGTGACGTCACCCGACTGCTTAGCATGCATTCTAGACTAGCTTCTTCACTACTTTACAATGTGAAGCCAATGGCACCACAAGGGAAGCATCTCACCTCTTCCAGGGGGCAGCAGGCCCAACCTCCACCCTCTGTATGGCAGCATGTTGTACCATCGGGACAGCTGTGAGACTTGTCACACTTGACCTGTGCACTTGTAAGAGTCTTGCCGAGCCATGGTAAAGAAAGCTGGCCTATGGAACAGGTAGCCTGTTCACACCTCCACCCACTGGGACAGCAGAAGGAATGATCAGAGCAGCAGATAGCCTATGTTCAGGAGAGAACTGAATTACTAAAAAAAAAGAGGCAGAAGCAGTGATCTGGCATACTAGGGGCAGGTTGTTATAGCTACACCAAGTTATACCTTCTCAATGGGGCAGCAACCCCACTCGCCAGAAGGAAGGCGGCAGCAGGTGGACTGATCAGGACAGGAAGCGGTTGGATCACATGGAACGTCATTGCCTGGGGGGGGGAAAAAAAAAAAAGTTTAAGACATCTGAAAAAAGTCTGCATGTAGCTCATACACCACCACCCCCGGGCAGGCATGCTCCCTCAATGCCTCCCCACTGGAGTATCCCAGCCTAAGCTCTAGTGCCAGAAGCTGAGACAGGGGAATGGAGTTAGCCCATCTATATGTCACACTGTGAAGGCCACCTGCTCCTGGGCAACTGAAAGCTCCCCCCCCCCGATGGTGAGAACTCCAGCTGAAAGGTGGCATTTTAAAAGCCCCTCCAAAATATTCCATGCCTGCTCATGTAGAATCAAAGGATCTTTAAGCTTACTCTTGCCCTTCAGAGCAGGTATCTTCTTTAACCAAGGGATGGAGTCCTGGCCTTGCACACAGCCACTCCCTGTGCATGTATATCCATTGGGACAGCAATGGACATGGTCAGAGCAGCACACAGCCTACAAAGAACAGTGTGTTAAAAACAGCAGCTCAAATATTTATATCCTCAGCAGTGTTCAGTTTTAGATTTTACTCAAGCACCTTTTCAAATGGACAGCATCCCCATTCTCCAGAGGGCAAACGGCAGCAGGTAGTTGTGCCAGGGCAGGTGGATGTAGCGTCACATTGCACTGTGGCTAAAGAGATAACAGGTTAGATTTATTTAGCAATCACCAAATGCAAGTCTGCAGAGAAGCCATGAGCTGTGCTAGATGTGAAGGGAGGCCAAAGCTCAGACTCAACCTGACCACATTGTATCATCTTAAAATAAATCTAAAAGGTTTTGGATGAAGTTCAGAATGTCTGAAACAAGTGAGGTTTTTTGCCGTGTCCCACTAGGTGGATTTGCCTTCATTAAGTTCCTGCAGACAGAGCATGAACTTGTGAAGTAAGGGCAAACTGCACCCATGTGAATATTTCCGATTTGTGTTACGTGACATTTTGGCATTCTCATCACTGTTTGACACAACAGCCACCAAGAAAGGAAATCTACCCAGCAGGAACAGACTTGATACTTTAAATCGTGTCAAGGATTAGAACAGCATGTATTAGATGGTGGGCAAGCTACACAAACAGCTCAGTACATATACTTGTGGCAAAGGATTTGCAACTGCGCCCAGTCTTGTGATCCAAGGACAACTGCTAGTCTGCACAGCCAGCAAGCCCACTTTGTGTCACTTCAGCCGAGCACTACCTCTACTGTATTGCTTAGATGGAAGGGCTTACAAAAGCAGGTTTTGGAGAGTGCATACTTAAGCAAGGTCATGCTTATCTTTTCAATACTTAGTCACTGACCTAAAGCAAGCATGGGTATATAAAAAAGGTGTCCTGATGCTGCATTCTTGAAGACAGGTCAATGTCCAGCAGAGTTTCAAGTCAAGTTTAAGACATCTGACAAAAGTCTGCACGTAGCCCAACATACACCAACACCCCCTGGGCAGGCACTTGCCGAGCAATGCTCCCTCAATGCCTCCCCACTGGAGCATCCCAGCTAAGCTCCCGAAGTGGAGACAGGGGAATGGAGTCAACCCATCTACATGTCACAATGTGACAGCCACATGCTCCCAGACAACTGAAAGCCGCCCCCCCCCCAGATGGTCAGAACTCCAGCTGAAAGGTTGCATTTTTAAAGCCCCTCCAAAATTTTCCATGCCTGCTCATGTAGAATCAAAGGATCTTTGTAAGCTTACTCTCTTCCTTCAGAGCCGGTATCTTCTTTAACCAAGGGATGGAGTCCTGGCCTTGCACACAGCCACTTCCTGTGCATGTATATCCATTGGGACAGCAATGGACATGGTCAGAGCAGCACACAGCCTACAAAGAACAGAGTGTTAAAACAGCAGCTCAAACATTTATATCCCCAGCAGTGTTCAGTTTTAGATTCTACGCAAGCACCTTTTCAAATGGACAGCATCCCCATTCTCCAGAGGGCAAACGGCAGCAGGTAGTTGTGCCAGGGCAGGTGGATGTAGCGTCACATTGCACTGTGGCTAAAGAGATAACAGGTTAGATTTATTTAGCAATCACCAAATGCAAGTCTGCAGAGAAGCCATGAGCTGTGCTAGATGTGAAAGGAGTCCAAAGCTCACACAACCTCTAGACTGCATTGTATCATCTTAAAATAGACCTAAAAAAGGGTTTTGGATGAAGTTCAGAATGTCTGAAACCAGTGAGGTTTTTTTTGCAGTGTCCCACTAGGTAGATTTGCCTTTAAGCTCCTGCAGACATGCGAGGACATGTGAAGCATGGGCAAACAGCACCCATGTGAATATTTCCCAAATTTGTGTTACGGTGACAACATTTTGGCTTTCCCATTACGGTTTCAGAGACAACAGCCACCAAGAAAGGAAATCTCCCCAGTGGGAACAGACTTGATAGGGTCCTAATCCTTGACACAATTTAAAGTACATATTGGATGGTGGGCAAGCTACACACCAAACAGCTCAGCACGGTCATGCGTATCTTTTCAATACTAGAGCAAGCATGGGTATATAAGGAGTCCTGATGCTGCATGCTTGAAGACAGGTCAATGTCTCACAAAGTAGCAGGTATAAGAATGACAAGCCAGGAACCTTTAAAAACCATGTAAATAACAGCCCCCATATTTTTTTTACCCCATCACTTTAACTGCAGCGATGAGGGTGATCCTTACCTACCACAGGAGGATTAGAAGCAGGTCACTGACCAATCTTCCAAGTCTGCTGACTGGACATGACAAGCAACATACTGATAACATCCTCTCAGCTCTCCATTAGTGACACAAGTGTATAGCCTGCTACACTGTGCAATGCAATAAAGTGGTATTGGTTCACAATGACTTCCCTTAATTATGCAAGCCCAATCTTGCTGTGCAGGGGATTCACTCACTTATGCCAACTATTTAAAACCTATCATGCCAAAATTGTCCCCATTTATTTAAAAAAAAAAAAAACAAAAAAAAACTCGTGACTAGTCCCACAACAGGTCAGGGTTACCTTGCTTGTGCAGAGCTGGGATCTTTGTAAACATTGGTGTCTCAGAATCTGCAGAAACGCACTTCTTATGAACGAGGTCACAGGTGGTCCCTGAAGGACAGCAGTGAATGTGGTCTCCACAGCAGACAGCCTGCAAAGCATGACCATATTTTCAGGGATGAGGCATTGCCTTTAGCTGTGCATAATGTTTAGCCTACATCAGTGGGAACAAGCTGCTTACAGATATTAATGGGCAGCATCCAAATGACCGGCCACCCAGCTCACAGCACGTACTGCCATCAGGACAGGTGGAACCATCTTTGCAAGTTGTCCGGTGGGTATTCACTGCGGTCAAAAAATACAGAGAGTTCTTATAAAAGCTAGAGTCACCCAGCAAAGAAACAGCCAACAGTAGTGTTGGTACTTAAGTTTAGAAGAGCTTAGAAAAAGAACTGTGCTTCCCACCCAAAGTGACATTCTAGTTCCAATGGGAGTCTGGTAGGCCAATCTAACCACTGCCTTTCTCTTGCACGCTTCATATTTTCTGGCTCAGTTCTTGCCAGCCCACAAGTCTCACTTGGGATCCAAAAAAGGAGTGATCCCATTACCTTACGCGACATAAAATGAGAAACCCCATCAGGCACAATGAGGTCCTCTTGTAATGGCCCCCTGGACATGGCAAATATGATGCAGGGATCTGTCCAAACCAAACAAAACCTGGTGGTTTGAGTGCTAGAAAAACCTATCTTCGGTAGACTGGGACACAATAAAAGCAGCAGTCAGACTATTCTCTCTATAATGCTCTCCAGGGCAGAAGCGAGGGAGGGGGACCTCTAAAATGGTGAGAAAACAAAGAGGCGCCTATACCTTTGCTTGGTTATTTCTATATGCAAAAACTTATCCTTCCTGTTCCAGGAACAGAGGTTTCCAGGACATTAAGATATTGCTCCATCTAGGACAAAACACCAGATGATCCAACTCTTTCCCAGTCAAAGTTTGGTAGACTGACCCTTTTTATAACAGGGGGAGGAAAGAGAATTGAATTCCAGTAGGAACTTTGGAGTAGCCACAAATGGCTCTGATTAAAACAAACTTGTAAGGCTCCTACAGCTCTACAATTACAGATCAACTCCAGATTGGGCATACTGTGCACCCACCTCAATCCTCTGCATCCCTTTTTTTTTTCTTAAGACTTTATGCCTCACATCCTCCACACTGTGCTGTCCAATCATGTGACAGTGTACTCCTTTCACTCCCAACAGCGGTAAGCCATTCGAAATGCTGCACCACAGACCAGTAATTTATGGTTTATATAGATAGAGCGTTCCAGGTCAGTGACTTCCTTTGTAGTCATGCTATAATTGGATGACATAACTGGCCCTCCTTACCATCTTGTGTTGATTTGCATTGTGATTGTAAAGCGCTGTGCAAACTGTTGGCGCTATGTAAATCCTGAATCATAATCATAAGAACCTGTAGGCAAAACTAGACTTTTAAGAGTTGCCACTGATTTAATTACCACATGAAAATTTTAAAGCTGCCTCAGACACTAAATATATAAAATGCTCATGTATGAGACAAGTGCAGCCTACCAAAACAAAGGTAGAAATCACCCTACTCACCAGAGGTCTGCAGCTTCATCCTGGCAGGAAGCTTTTTGGACATGGGAACCACTGCATTTCCAGAGACACAAGTGCCATGCTCCAGGTCACATTGGGTGTTGTGTGGGCAGCAGTGAAAATGATCATTGCAGCATGTAGCCTATAAAACAAAATAGTCAACACAACTTAGCAAAAGTCTAAATTTGAGGAAATATGCTTGTTTACAGTGCTCAGTAGCTCAAACTACAACACACGAGGGCACTGCCAAAGTGTTCTGTACCTTTTTTTTTTTTAAATTGGAGGCACCCATCAACCTCTGACTTCCCCTGGGAGTGCATGCAGTAGTCAGAGAAATTCACAAAGTATAATCTACTTAAAAATTACCACCTTACAGAACTTAATTGTTGCATAATTAAAAACCTTACACCCCATTTTGTATTATAAAGCCATTTATGGTGCCCCAATGTATCCACCTCCAAGATATGGGGAGGAATTCAAATCTGATCTTGGCTTCCACCCGTCAGCATGCTTTAGCCATAATTAACCTATATGCCCCAATATATGCCATCAGCATACTGAATTGGAGGCAGCAGACACAGAATAAGGTGTGGAGAACTGAAAGGACACAATTAGAAAGGGGGGGGTCTATATGTGTAACATTGGAAATATGTACTTTCTCCAGCTCACCTGTTCCATTGGGCAGCATCCCCATTTTTGGTCAGCCAACTGGCAGCATGTGGTGGCACTTGGGCATTCTGATGCACCATCAGGGCAGATTATTGACGACTGATTGCTACCTGCAAAAACATGAGTTGATTACCTGATAACTCTGTTTCCTGATAACTCTGTTTCCAGGAATCTTCCAGGACAGCCCTCGAGATATAGGCTCCGCCTGCCTGCAACAGGAAACACATCAACCACATTAAATAGACTCCTCCTTCCATCCCAAGTCAGTAACCTCTAGGACCGAAGGCTACCCCATGTACTAAAGTATCTCCTCCTTCATCCAACCACGGATGCCACCTGGATACTTACCAAGGGCGGGAATATGCTGCCCTGGAAGATTCCTGGAAACAGAGTTATCAGGTAATCAACTCATGTTTTCCCCAGTCATCTTCCAGGACAGCCCTCGAGAGGATCAGTGAGGACTAATCTTACCTCTTAGGGTGGGACCACAGCTTGCAGGACTTTCCTGCCAAATGCCTGGTCTTGTTGAGTCATAAGGTCCAGCCTGTAGTGCCTGACGAATGTCTGGAAGCTGGACCACGTGGCTGCTCTGCAGATCTGGTCTGGAGTAGCCCCTGCTCGCTCTGCCCAGGACGTAGCCCATGCTCGAGTCGAGTGTGCAGTGAGCGAACCTGGCAGCACCAAGCCCTGTGCTTCGTAGGTGTCAGGTATGGCCATCTTAATCTACCTTGCTATCGTCCATGCTGTCCTGCTCACACCACAGACACCCGCAAGGGGCCAAGAGACACCGCAGCCCGCCGCGCGAGGCCCACACCTCCACAGACTGCCCAGCTCTCCCTACCATCAGGTAAGAGCCCCCTACTGCCGAGGTAGCCGGGACCCCTGGACTCCTCCAGCCTCCCTGTACCTCTCCTATGCTGCCCCTGCTGTTGCCAGACCAATGTCCACAACCTGGGCTCCGCATCCTAGCCATCACACCTTGCCACTGCCGTACACCAGGGGGGGCCACCATCTGGCGCCCACTCACGTGCAGGAGGATGGTTGCCTTCCCTGAGTGATGGAAGGGAACCTTGGCCAAGAATCGGATGGGGGTCCGATAGGGAAGCCCTGTATGCGCTGCAGCAGGTAATCCTGGAGTAGGTCCCAGCACATAACAGGGTAGGCTCAGCCCTAAGGCAAACAAACATGAGCCCTGAAAACAACAAACATTACGATGTCCCTGTGTAGCCGGCGGAAACACAAAAAAAACTGACTTGGGATGGAAGGAGGAGTCTATTTATTTAATGTGGTTGATGTGTTTCCTGTTGCAGGCAGGCGGAGCCTATATCTCGAGGGCTGTCCTGGAAGATGACTGGGGAAAACATGGTGTTAATCCAGGATGCAAAAATGAGAATTACAGTACAAGTGTAACTACTACAGCTTACCTGGCAAACAGGAGTGCCCATCTTCTGAACAATGAGTGCCTGAAGGACAGCAGTGATGTTCATCTTGGCAAGGGGTACCCTGAAAGAATAAATTACAACATCAATAAGTGAATATATTTTTACCCAACTTATCCCAAAAACATTAGACTAACTCCATGTAGGGTGGGTTGTTACAGTTAACATTAGCACATGGCTTTAACAGTCACATGGGGAAGGATTTGAGAGGACCTGTAGGTAAATCACACCCCAAGCTTTATTCTTTCAATAAAAATGTTAAAAGATTAGCTTGATGTGAATCTGGTATGTATACATAGACTGCTTTCTGATTTGCAGTGCTACACCAGTGATTGTATTTTACCACTCCTGGTTTGCCTTCCATGGTTCCGCCGTTAATTTTTAATTAAGCCCCATTTTGTTACACATCTCATTTTAGACCCACATGTCATCTCTGGGGCTATGTGCTTGGCTACGTAATGCAGGCAGATCATGGCTGGTGGCAGGGTTCTGTACATAGCCTCTGAAAAGATCACAGCACCCTGCCTCAATACTCCTCTTGAGAGAAGTTGTGCCGATAGCAAAATGCCTTGATGGGTGTAGGTCAGTCTGGAGCAGTGGGTATTCCTACATAGGGTGCATTTGCATGCAGATGGCTCTAGGTAATGCCCATGTGATGCTGACCCTCCATGAAGGTGAAAAAAAAACCCTGAAAGCCAATGAAAATGGCAGGCAAGGGCCAGTCAGGATAAAGAGGAAAGAGCTAGATGCTTGATGTTCTCCAGCCAGGAAATGAGGCAGGCTCTGACTTGCTGCAACTTCTAATGCATGCTATGAGAAGATCAGTGTGCAGTGAAATCAAACTAAAGAATTTCAGTCCAGGAGGAGCCGGTACAACGGCACAAGACTGATGGGTAGGCTGAAGGTAAGCTTTGAATACTCCATTTTAGGAGATCAGCCGATTTGTAGGTGAATCCTCCCAGCTTTAAAAAAAACTGGGACAGAAGTGTTCATAGCTTCTGTTTAGAGAACTCTGCCATTAGAAACTAGAACTATAATAAGACCTTCTCTAAATAGGATATCAATCTCTTCCCTTTAATCTGCTGGACGCAAGCCAACATTACCAAACCAATGTGGAGTAAAAAGGAAGCACTTTCTTGGCATGAATAAAATACTGCTCCGAGTTCATCAACTTATGACAGGTGACTGACTTTTTTGCCACCAGGTGCATTGTGGGGGCTTCACCACCAGAGTTCTGACCACAGCCTTGTATAGTACATTTATAATACTCACTAGTGGGGATGAGCTCAGGTTTAAACAGACAAAGTTCTGTCCCAGCCTGAGCGCCACCAAACCTGAAGGAACATGGGGCCACCCGCCCAACCAGTTGCATGCTCGGACACTCCGTCCCACATCGGCACATAAGGTGTTGCATACTTGACCTCACATGGCCAGAAGACCATACAAGGTCACAGCCATTGACCAAATACAGCCATGTGGCTATATAAAAAAGGTAAACAACGCACCTCGCCCCTTTCATTGTGTGTAGCTGCAGGTGGGGAATTCCCCAGCAGCAGTGGAGGGTGCTTAATCCTGGTTCAGACCAAACCTGAGCTCATCCCTACTCCCTAGAATACTGCCTTCCTTGCACAGGCTGAAGGTGGAGGAACCTTCCAGTGACTGTTGCCACACCCAATAAAAAAGGTGTTCCTCTACAAAGGAAAGAACTTGCCTCTTCCCCACCCACAGTTTCTGGAGTCTTTTCAGAAGAAGACTTCTGGGAGAGTCCCACCTCCTATGCACTGCCCCCCAGTGGTATCTACTGCTGACCTCAATGTCACTAATGACAAGGTTGACAGGAGGAACCAAGGGAGACACCTGAAGTGCTGGTTTCTAAAGAACTTTCAAGGAGATTTCTCTGCATTGTTGCAGTGGTCACTAGTACTAGCAGGATAAGAGGCATTTACCTACCTATTTGCAGAACATCTTATATTCCATGTTAAGTCCACCCTTGGTAGTTCCACCTGCCACATCAATGGTGTTTCCCTGTAGGACACAGTGTATCGGCTGGTGGTGGGAGCCACAGCAGGCATTTAAAACACACAAAGATTCTACCATCACTTCTAGCTCTGAGAGAGCAATGACCAGCTGCAAGGGAGCTAGTACCAGTGAGTATTATAAATCTATGTTACTACACTGGGTTCTGTGGCCATGTCAGCCATATAATCCATAGATTATGAACATTACTATAGCAGACGATCTTACTCAGTAGTTTTTTTTTGGTGATGTGAGTTGGGAAGGCAAAGTTATATGGAAACCAGCAACAGAATTGAGGCATCAGCTGTAAGTTTTAATGAGGGATTAAGCCAGAATGGAGACCTTAACAAGGATAACAGCTTTGACCATTCTATCCCTTCAACTGACATTGATCAGGATCTCATGGATCAAAAGCCATCACAATTACACCGTCTGCTTCTGTGGCCCCAGATACCAACAGTCTAAAAGTGCATCCTCCCTTGTGAAGTGGCAAAGCAAGAGCACAACTCTAACCATTTGTACTATTCCCCCTTTAGTTCCAAAACATGATATGATGGTTGTAACTGGGCCTGCTGGACATCCACCAGGCCCTGGGGTTCTGCCCAGGTGGCCTTGTGGATGATCTTCAGTACAACAGCTCCCTGGTTTCAGTGATGTGCCTGGTCCCATAGTACAGTGCATGTACCTGATCTAGCGGACAGCAGGCCGATCCACCCCGAGGAGTCTCCACACAGGAATATTCTTCAGGACAGCCCATCTGCTTTGTGCAGGCAACATTAGTAATCATGGGAAGAGCACGGGTGGCACTCTGAATAAAAAAAAAGAAAAAAAAAGAGAATTCATAATGCAGAACTACTTCATTAGGCAAGAGTGTGTGGTTGTGTAAGCCACTCTTACCTCATTATCACAAATTGACCCATCAGGACACTCACGGGCACCAACTAAGGCCGCCAAGAGCAAGAGATACCAAGGAGGTCCCATTCTGCAGAGAGAAAAGAAAAGTCAGTACAGAGGCTTCATACCAGGTCCAACTATAGGCAAAGAGTGTCAGTCAATTTGCATACATTTCCCACAATGCATTGCCTGCAACATTCCCATCCATTTTGCATTCTAGTACAGTAACGTGACTCATCCTGAACAGAAACACAACCTCATGGCCCAGAAGCCAGGATATGACTACATGTATAAGTGGCCAGGTTTATTAAAGGCCACAGGGTGCTTTAAAGCCCAGCAAGAGAAAAACATGTTGGCAAGAAATCCATTTCCAACTAGCAAAAACTTGTGACCCCCATTAAGATTTGCCTTCACTTGCTGGTTGGTCATCAGGAAAGGAAATGAGGCATCTCTGCAAGCAATAAAAGCATTTATGCTTCAGTTTCAAACCCATTTCAGGTTTCTTTCATTGTGCGTCTGCTGAGAAAATGCAGCCAAAAACCTGGTACATTAGCCCGCGAGTCAAAGTGTATTTGTTTAGGACAAAGCATTTATTGGTGTGTCTCCACAGGGGAGATTTCCCCTCACTTCCTGTCCCAGTCACCACATAGGAAATAGAATTTAATTTAAACCTAGGACAGCATGTATACATAAACTGTTATGAGGTACCCAGCAGAAGATGTAAAAAAATGCATTCAGGAACAGTGAAGAGCAACTGCCGGTTACAGAGCCAGTCTGACGCGATACAAGTTCTGCCAAGTGAGATCTTATCTGGTTGTAGGCGAGAAAAAACATACAAGAGTCACAAAAGTCAGCAATCTGAACGCTTCTCACCTGCCAACCACATGACAAACCACATACACAATCTATATCTATCTCCGGTGACCCGTCAATCCCTACCAAGCCGCAGGCTTAAAGTAACACCAAATAAAAGCCATCATAGGCAAGTCTGCTTTCGGTAAATAGAGCATAGAACACTGCTACACGAGCCATTTGTACTTCATTACTAAAATTCAGTTTTAATCTGAGGGCGCTGTCATTTAAGACTTAAAAAAGAAGTGCAATATGGTGGCCTGGAAGAGTCTAGTACAGCATGGGTGTACTGAACGTCCTCAGAAACGCATTTCCTGCTTGTGTGATTGGCTCAGCAATTTCCCCCAGAAGTTTGCACTGGGATACAAGTACAATTTTAAACATTACCTTTAAAAAGGAAAGGTTGTTTTTGGCAAGATGCTCCCTAAAGGGTTAACTACTTTCCTTATTAGAACACTGAAAGTCCACTAGGTGGTTATAATGAACCTGACTCCCATTCACAAACAGTCTGGAAAGGACATGGGGAAAAACAGAACATTGTACTGTGATCACTGAGGGGGTTTTACCCCTCAACAAAAGTGGAGTTACAGGAGTGAGCAAAGAGTTGGCTTTGGTACAAGCAAACCTTGACCTGACTTGCTTCATGGCTCGCAGTAAACCACTCTACTAAATATCACAGTATTCAAATCACTGACTTCTCAATGCATTTGTTTTAAAAACCATATTCCATCGCAGCAGCTACGGAATGATCCAGATATAGGACCATGATCCATCTAAGCAGCCACACCATCACCGAGATACAAGACCATGATAGGTTTTTATCTGGGTGATACTGTAGCTGCTGCAAGACCATGATGCATTTACAGCAGCTACACCATCACCCAGGTACAAGACTATAATCCACTGCAGCAGCTACATTACTACCCAGATTTTAGGACCACGTTCCATTGCAGCAGCTACCTCACAATCCAGATACAAGACCATGATCCTTAGCAGCAGCTACACCATCACCCAGATACAAGACCATGACCCATTGTAGGGCTGCAGCTAACGATTATTTTCTAAATCGGTTAGCCGATTAAATCGGATAAAAAAAACGGCTCCAGTGATGGGACTACTAGTTTGTATTGAGATTGTAGTCTATCACAGGAGCACGCTTGGAGCGGTGGAGGAAGAAAAAAAAGTGTCGTGTGCAATATAGTACATTATACAGCGGCGCAATGCAGAATACCAGCAGCTATAGTTAATACAATAAATCTGAGCAATAGTACATTATACTATTGCTGGGATTTGTAGTCCTCTGTAGCTGACGTTATTCTGCATTGCGCTGTATATATTGATTATATAGTGCAAAGGAAAAAAACAAATCCCAGCAATAGTACATTATACATACAATGTACTGCTGGGATTTGTATTCCTCTGTAGCCGAAGGTACATTGCCCTGTATGATATACAGCACAATGTAACATCAGCTATAGAGGACTCAAATCCCACTATCCCAGCAATACATATAAAGCACCATGTACGGGGGGGGGCTTACCTGAGCAGATTGTGGGCCTGTCTGGCAGCTGCCTTCCCCCCCATGCATGCTCTTCCTTCTTACTGGAATGAGGGGAGAAGCGGCGAGGAGTCGTGTGGCGAGGCGCAAGAAGGCAAACTAATCGAAATTCAACTAATCGATGATGGAAAACGTTGATGTTTTTCCATCATCGATTATAATCGACGTAGTTGATTAATTGTTGCAGCTCCAACCCATTGCAGCAGCTACACCATCACCCCATAATAAAGCACTAGAAGGGAGGCAGGTACTAGTCTATAGTTAACACTCACCAGTATGATAGCAGCCATCACATTACATCCGCTACACCACAGATCACACACAGGGGGAAGTGAAGTCATCGTAGTCAGATACTTCCACTTTCACCAGCTCAGCGAAACCAGCGCAAAACCCACAGACCACAATCTGCTGATCCGCACCCATTATCTTACATTTATCAGTATATCACACCCATACTTGTCTCTTCAAAAAGCCAACAATCACTGCACTAGCAGAAGGGGAGGGCACAGGAAGCTGTAGGCAGCATATTGTGCAAGAACCAAAAATCAAGTACCGAGTGGATAGAGTTTTGATAATAGCCACAAAAGATAGAAAACCACATGTGTCCCAAATGCTTTCGCATAGCCAGATAGTCACTTGTTAAAGTAGCAGTGACATCATCACTGCACTATACATAGCCTGTGCAGAGTGCCGAGTTATGGGAGGGGCCCAGCAGGCTCCACCCACTACAGGAGGGGGAAGAGACGAGACCAGTCACCCTGCACAAAGAGAGAGCAGCAGAGACTGGCCTTTATTACAGGAGGGGGCGGAGACAAGACCAGTCACCCTGCACAAAGAGAGCAGCAGAGACTGGCCTTTATTACAGGAGGGGGCAGAGACAAGACCAGTCACCCTGCACAGAGAGAGCAGCAGTGACCGGTCTTTATTACAAGAAGCTCACACTGGATTACAGCACAGATCTGGAAGAAATACACAAAGCTCACCAAGATTCAAGGAAGAACACACATGACTTGTATGTAAATATTTACTTATCCCAAAGCAGCATCCGGCAAACCCTCCTGTAAGGCGCCAGCCAGATCTCTGTGCATCCAGGAACCTATTACAGGTGTGGCACAGGGCAAAGTCCCCATCAGAAAATTCAGGACATATGATGTACTTATGACTTGCTGGTAATGTCAGACAAGGTCACATGACTTCTTGTCCCTTGCGGGTTGTTGAGAATAAGGAAAAGGTTAACTAGTGCTCCTCTAGGAAATCCCCCGCCCACGCTATTTGCTGAACAAAGCACATTACAAGAATGAGCAGAGGTAAAAAAACAAAAAACACAAACACTTTACATAGTAGTGTTTCACTTCCAGGAGTTTTACATCAGCCATTCTCCCCCCAGAAGTGAATAGGGGTTCCCTGAGCTGTAGCTAAATAACCTTCCATCTAATGGCACCTGTAGAGTCTCCATTTGAGAGATTTACCCTCACTTCCTGTTGACAGGGCTTAAATCAGACAGAAGTGAGATTTAACCCCCGTCCCACTGAAGAACAGGAGGTGAGATATTTACACTCACTTCCTGGTTACATTTATTACCATGTTTACTCCATACTCGGGTGTAACTTGAAACATGGTCACATCGCCGCCCCAGTCAGCAGCTGGACAGGAAGCTGGGGGGGGGGGGCCCAAACAGCCAGACAATTCAAGTCGATTTTCTTCTCCTCCCCATTGAAGGAGCCATGTTGAATATTGTCAGCCAATGAGCTGTGCAGGTATTCGGCATACATGGGTGCTGGCTGTTAGACTACAATAGCTGGCAAGGGAGCAAGAAAAACAAGTGACTAATACAGCGGTGGCCAGCCAGAAAAGTGCAGACAGTGGCACGAATGGTTTGACGGTTCAAGAACCAGCCAACATTTGCATAGTTTATGGCCAGCTTTAGAAAGACAAGACTGCAAAAAACACCAAAACAAACACCAAAACCACCCCCCTTGCCATGTAGAGAGCAGCAGTCTGCATGCCGATTGGTTAACAGTGTGGAATGTACGAGTGTGCTCTGTTACATCCCAGCTCTGTAGCAGGAAGCGTGTTCATACAATATAGAACAATGCTTCCTTTTTATACTCAGCACTGTACAGATCCCCATGTTATGAGCACAGTACACCACTTACTTCCTGTACACCCATCCCAGGACTGCTGGAATTATTGTTCCTCATGTATAGGGTAGAATAATACAGATCAAATCCTTTTATTGAGAAGATGATCCGATCAGCTGGTCATTGTTGCTGGTCAGCAGCTCCAGAGACTGACCATAAATGCCAGTGTCTGAGTCTTCAGTTCTGAGGCACCACAAGTCTCAGCACAATGATACAACCTGCTTTAGCCTCATCACATACATATATTAGTCACCACACATGACATCTACCAACAACTATGTAATAGGAGGGCCTACATTATCTATCCAATCAGTCTGTAGCCAATCACACAAGCCCTTGTACTACATAGTTGTTGGTAGAGATAAAGAAATAAGAAATCACATTGTAGAGTGGAATGTGCAGAGCTGATGGTAGATCTAAAGGAGATTATGCAAACAACTTTGTAATACAAGGACCAGTCTGACTGGATACAATTTGATTGGATCACCTACATTAGGTGCTCATATTATATAGTTTGGGTAATTCAGAAATAGACTGTACAAATATTGTAGTCAGATGAT